CCTTGCATTCCTCATGTCCATCTGCAGGCTCAGATGGATCAGATCCACACAGAAATCAGGATGGGTTAGGAGCCACGCGACTGATCAAACCTGATGGCAAGAGGGTGTGAAGCCTGTCGGTGTTTACTGTCTGAGAACGGAATGATGGGTAACCATCAGCAAGTATTCCCTGTGCAGCTGACCAGTCAGGCAAGAGGCATCAGCAGAGTTAATATGTTAAGAGGTTACAAAAGCAGGTCTGGCACAAAAATCTGACACTTTGAATCAGGTCTTCTCTAAATGAGAATAACTGATTTTGTCTTCCTTCTCTTATAACAGCTAGAAGGAGATGCAAAACAACTAAAAAAGACACAAAATGGCTACAGATACAAAACTCCCACAAACAAACTACAAAGACAAAATGACAAAAAGATGAACAGTGTGCCCTGACCATGATACTGCACTCACAGTTGCTTATCAGTAGAAGACTGGTGGAAAAGAGCAAAGTCCAGCTCTGCTGACAGATAAATGACTCAACACGAATCTGGCTCAAGCTCCAGTTTTAATTTGAAGGCAAAATACTCCATTTTCTTGAACTATGAACTACTGTAGGGCAGCACGGTGGGACAGTGGTTAGCACTGTTGCCTCACAGTGAGAAGGTTGTGGGTTTGTGACCTTTCTGTGCTGAGGTTGCATGTTCTCCTCATGCTTGCGTGGGTTCTCTCTGGGTACTCTAGCTTCCTCCCACAGTCCAAATACATGCGGCTTAGGTTGATTGGTGACTCTAAATTGCCCGTAGGAGTGAATGTGTGAGTGGTTGTTTGTCTGCGCGTTGGCCCTGCAATGGGCTGGCGACCTGTCCAGGGTGTACCCTGCCTTTGCCCGATTGCCGGCTGGGATTGGCTCCAGCGACCCCGTTTGGGACTGAGCGGTATAAAAAATGAATGAACTACTGTATTTACTCATATTTTGCAGGAGAAACAAACAGATAAATAAATGAAATATGACTAGAATGTGAAAATAAATGGCCTCTAACAGTAAAATGTGGTAACAGTCACATTATAACATTCTCTGAAAGCTCTATAGCAACCATCGTCATCATCAATGACAAGCAGAATGAGTAAAATGATCACTTGTTATTTTTTTATTATTCCAGCCATTTACAGTTAGAGAACAGATTCATCATCTTTTATTAAATTAACACTTATAAAGATCAATGACAATGACAAACAGCATGTTACTGTGAATCAAGGTAAATAAAGGTAAATATGTAAATAAGAGCCAAAATACATTTATGTGACTTGAGAATGGAATCAATTTGTTTTTGTTTCAAGGAATGCACTAAACGTTTAAATGTTCAATTTACTACCATGGTGAATCCCTGAGGATGTTTTTCCATGCTCTTTGACAAGGCAGCTGCTGAGGCACCGTCTACGTTCCAGCTTAAATCAGTTTGTCAGTGAAGAAAAGCAGGCAGACCTCTAGTCCCAACAACAATCAGCAAACACATGCAGTACAAAAAGGACATTTTGTAGTCTTCAACCCGACTGCTGGGGAAAACCTCAGATAGTATTTGAGTTCATATTTTGGAAATCATTGTTGATTCACAACCTTTTCAAAAATAAGTACATAAATAAAATGGACAGTTATTTTTATTAATGCACAGCACAGACAGTAGCATTGCTGTGGAAGCCCACTATTCGATTTAAATGACCGACCACTGTCAGGCCATGCTGCCATAAATCTGTTGGGTCCCATGACAGGCGACACCATTCTCTGGCAATGACCTACCATGCCTAAACACTGGCCTAACATACTTTTAGAGCTGGAAATATGCAGCAGCTTGAGCCACATTGTACCGGAGCTGGGGTGGCCATATACACTGGCTCGAGTGGCAGTTTCATCTAATTGCAACAGCCCACTCAGCTCAGATTAAACTACAGTGGCACAGCTGGCTTGTTCAGGTGTCCCACCACCATCATTCTCACCAGCAGCCACTACTCAGTGAAATATCTGTTATGACAACTAATGTCACAAGGAGCCTTAATTATGCATCCCCTGTCAGATAAAGTAAAAAGTAAATAATAGTTACTAACAGGATAGTACTGAGAATGTCAGGACACTGGAACAATTCCTCCACACTTCATTGTTTGCCTAGCTGTTTGGCGGCATGCATATGAAATGAGAAAACAGTGACATAATGCAGAGTGGGTATCTGACAGAAGCCCAGGACTCAACTCCCATTTATTACAGCAGAAGAGGAGGAAACACCCACTGATTTACTGGGAACACTGTGTACAGAAGCAACAAACTCCAAAGATGCTTACCAGTGCAAGAGAATATGAGTTTCTCCAGTAAAATAAATGGTGATGCCCTGATGCAATTTGTGTGTGAATTAATAAAACAAACCGTACTTCACTTACTATAAATTTATTACATTTATTTTGATGGTGTATTAACTTGTGTCCTAACTTTTCTGAGGATTATGAGTTAGCTATAATAAAATATACTGTTCAGCCAAGTGTCCTGTCAGTGCTTTCAATGCCACAACAGGGTGCGGACATTTATGAGACTGGGCTGCCATCTAAAGGCTAGCACCTGTCAGCAGCAGAGTGTGCAGAAGCCTGGATGTTCTGTCGATCAGCTCGTGCCCAAAAGCATGAGTTAGGTCAGCTGGAGATAATTTTCATTGGCCATAAAATGCATATTTTAATTAAATTGCATGTCAACAACAGGATGCTGAGTTATGCGTTGTTCACATCTTTTTCCTGATGCGCCTCTAGTATGTCCACAGGGTTAAACACTCCAATAGATTTTCTTAAACTGGAACATCCTACTCTAAGTTTCTGTATTAAATGATAATGATTAGGCTGCTGTCATCCCTATTTAGGTCTCATCAGTGAGTCTGTTCATTATCATTTATCAGCCATTTCTTTTACAGCAGTTGATCACAGCAGCTTCTGAAAATATACATTTAAAACACCACCATAAACACAAATAGAAAGACAATTTTTTAAATTCGTCACATGTCCATTCACAGTTGCAGACCTTCAAGAATTTCATTACTCTGTGATTGTTTGTCCTGTCAGGGTCTTGCCTTAGAGAGAGAAAGAGACTACACCCTTCATCTTATTTGTTACAGGAAATGCTTATTTCCTGTAACAATCACACACCACACACCACTATTGACTGCATTACTCAGCTTCAAAAAAAGATATTTCATATCTTATTAATCATTAACTATGTTATATAGCATGCCCATTTCTAACAGGTAGATTAATCATTTCCTCCAAATACAATCCAAAGAAATTAACAACTAACATATTTGATTATGTAAGCATGGATTTCACCGGCAGTTTGTTCTGGCCAATGATGACAAGGCGTGTGTTGAAACCAGCAAGTCACGGTGAGACAGGAATGACTTTTGACTTCTCAGTGTTTAAATGCCATACTATCAGCGAAGGCTTGAGCTTCCTTCTGGCAGTTTCTTGCTTTTCCAAAATCCTTATCTACCTCATCCACAATGGTGTTATTAGAAGCAGGAGTGAATGAAAACTGGCAGTTCTTTTAAAAGAGGGCTATATCAATGTCATGTTAAAACATAATTACAAAGGTCTTAGCTTTTCACAGTCGGATAATATCAGCATTAATACAGGGAAGCAAACAGATTTAAAAGTGGCAAGACAGAGGAAGAGGTGAGACTGAGGTCAGGTTCCAACAGTAGCTATTTCAAAAGTCACTTCCTTTTTGGTGTGTGGCCATGTGAAAAGGTTCAGTTTTTGCAAGGTTGTAGGCTGGTTGTTGTAAGATATTCTCAGAAGTTAAGTGGGGAAAAAAAACCTTGGGCCTCAACAAGACAAAGAAAATGAAAAATGTTTCTACTCTGTTAACGGAGATTAATTTTGATCATATATTTTTGATTTGTTCTCTAACACATACAGAACATAAGAAAAATATGGATGGTTTGGATATTCTGGGGACGTTTCATCACTGAAAGAGACACACAACATCAGCAGAGACACACAACAACCATAAAGAGGCAAAAAAAGGCGACAGAAATAAAACGAACACAAAAGAACAAACTGACGACAAAGAGACGCAAAATAACTACAAAGAGATGCAAAATTACCAGGAAGATGTAAAGCCACATCAGAGACACTAACTCACTACAAGAGAAGCAAAACAACCATAAAGAGATGCACAGCACAACACAGACACAACCTGCCCTCAGAGACAAAAACCGAAAACAGATGAGAACTAAATAAAATGCAAAACCACAAAGATGGAAAACAACAGAGACACAAAACAACTATAAAGATAATTAAAAATGATCATAAAGAGATGCAAGACAAGTGGAAAGAAAAAGTGACCACAAATGCACAAACTAGACAAACATGCAAAGTGACCTCAAAAATGGAAAACAACAGGCATCAAGCATTTATGCACAAGATTGTTTTCCTTTTCACTTAATAAAAAGCCCAGACTTTAATGTAGCTTCTCTTTGTAAATGTGTTGTAACATTAACTTAGGAACTTGGGGGGGAAATGATACAAAACAAGCAGATGTGTTTTATTCCAATCCCCAATACTGAGGCTATTCAGACCATTATGTAACTTCTGTTCTCTTTGGCAGTAATGGAAAACAGCACAATTGCTTTTACTTTATTAAGGGGAACTGATTACAGTGAAACTCAGGTGTATAAAGTTAAGTCGCACAGACTTACAAGTACCTGTTTAATTGGGCATTTTGAGAGAATGATCAGCTCTTCAAGGCAGGGTTAGAGAGGTTCGCTGCACAGGCACAGCACCTGATGTATTAACAAACTGAGCTGCTGGTGGTGGTGTTTGCACTTTACCTCTGAATGCATGAGAATGTAAACCAACAGTACATAAAGTGTGCTGGCTAAGCACCACACAAGTCAGAGGCAGAAACAGTCGCTCAGGTACATTCCAGCTTTGAACCTTCAGTCCAGGCCTGTTTTTGTGTGCAGTGAATCAGTCGATATCACTCAGAAATCGTCCTCAATAAAATGGTTATCAGCCAAATAATCTCATCAAAGCCTGAGTTGTCATGGCACCCTGTGCAGGTGACAGCGTTTTTAGATGTGAGCCGGTGAACCCAACAAAGGCTTCGCACCAGCACCGGTGCTATTCATAAAGACCGCCACTTGTGGAGGCTGAATAGTCCCACAGAAGCACAGACATCCAGAGGAAATGATGCTATTGTTTCCCCGCTCTCTGATGTAAATAGGTTGCCCACTTTAATGGCATGATTTTGATCCGCTATAACCACGTGTTTAATGGCATGATTTTGATCCGCTGTAACGTGTGACCACCATTCAAACTTCCCCTCTCCTTGTGAATCCCCAAGGGTTCAATATCATACAATATGAAACAAAAAATATTGACATTATGATGTAAAATAATGAACCAGTAAATTCTGAATTAATAAAATCAAGTCATGTGGTTATCAAAAATGTCACATTCTTGTCACAGTAACAGAGCCTCTTTTGTATTTCATGTTCAAACAAAACACCCTTTTCTAAAAATCTGTTAACATTTTCATTTTCCCAATAACATGTTTTGTATACATTATCACTTTAATATTTTACTAAATGAGAGTAAGTTCAAAATGTATTGGTTAATTTACACTGTATATTTTACACCATTTATTAATATCATGTCACATTTACTTGTGGGGTCCATATAGACAATACCGAGACTAGTCGGAATGTAAAGGCTAAATCCTTTAAATGTGAAAAATAAAAACTCTGCTCAAAACTATAAGCATTTATTTCACACCACATCTGTCAGAGGGGAGCATGGAAGCAGTCCTTATTGGTTGCTATAAAGCTGAATAATTCACGCCATCCACTGAAGCCTAACAAAATTCACTAAGCAATGTTCCAACTAACACACACACACACACACACACACACACAATAACCTTACTAGCTAATTGGAAAATATAACCTGCTACATTCATTCAGTTTGTTAGTTCTGAACTAAGAGGCGTTCTGCTTCCTGAAGCCTTTGGATAGCAGGTCACAGATTACTGCTATCTTCCAATTCAGGCATGCCATGTATAATAATCAGGCAGGTGAACAAGTAAGAAAACATTCAAGGTTTTTGGGCAGGAACGCATAAAAAGGCTGAGAAACCTTGCTGTGTGATAAGACACTAAAAGCCATCAAAATACTTCTTAATTTTTATGAGGAATGTTAATTTCATAGCTTTCGATCAATCTGAAACAGCTTCCCACAAGTGAAGAGATGTGACAAAACTTTAGGTGAATTCCTCCTTTATTTAAATCCTCAGAGAAAAGTAACCTACAGTGGTCTGACACCAACAAACAAGTAATTTATACAGATGACAACTGTCGTTCACTGATGACAGAATACCAATACCCAATACTCTAAGAGACTGAACATATCCTTTACATATACATAATGCAGAGGCAAACAGCAAAATGGAACAGACAAGCATTAAATTAAGAGTAAAAAGGTGAGAATTTGTTTTCTTATGCAACATTGAATACAACAAAAGTTGCATCTTCCATTCAGTTCTATTGGCAAGTGTTGTGATGCAGCACACCAAAGGTTTGTAAGGTGTAGATTTTCTGGGTCCTGACCCCATTTGTTTAGATGAACACTGGTGGAGGTGAAGGGATTTCACTTCAAGGCAGAAACCCCTAGTGCCAGTAGTGCTACCACACAGTCAGGACAAATACTGACAGCAACATGTACATATCGGTTTCATCTGAAAGACCTGGTAGGAGGAATGTGTGGAATGATGGCTTAACAAAACAAACATGATGCCATTTAACTGACTCACACACCAGATTAATAAAATTTCCATCACAAACTGGAGCCGGGTTCAGAGTGTGCATCTGTTCAAACCCTGGTTGAGTGCCAATTTTAACCTGCCTTACTAAAGTCAAACCCAGTCTGTACAGCAGATTTATGCTGGGGGTCAATAATAAACTTTTGAAGTTGGGGGTTGGACAAAGGGTCTGGGGCGCCATTAGGTGCTTCTGCAGAGGGACATCGATCCTCGCCCACCTCAGTAGCTGGGTTATGGGCGAGGACGTCAAAAACAGCCCAAACACTTTGTGGTAATGTGTGATGGTGCTCCTCTGAGAAGGACACACTTGTGAAGCCCAGGAGAGTTCAGCAGAGTAACCCCGCTGTTCAGCAAAAAAAAGCTCAGCCGAAGACTCACATCCTCAGCTTCTTCCTCTCACCTTGAAGCTCCCAGACAGCCTAAATGATTTCACTGACTTAGAGCCTGGCATTGGTTCTTTGTTTATCCTGAGAAACAACTGTCCTACAAACGAGTGGACGAAGGTGATGACAAGTTTAAAGGCTGACTGGGAACCAAGATGGGAGGGGCTAGTAGGAGAGTCTAATGTGAGAGCAGCCTGCTAAACGAGCAGGGTTTAACCTCAGCAGCCGGCCTGGGTGACGTCTCCGCCGGAGCTCTTGGTCACCTCCAAAGTGGTAAAGATCTAAAAGGATCAGCAGACACACATGAGGCAGTGCAGCTCTGACAAATTTCAGGAGCACACAAAGATACAAAACCTGCTGGTTGAAATGCGATGGCGATTTAATGTGTAAAACTGTGAATGGCTACTTAAAGAGGAAGACTGCAAAACCCATACAGATCATCATGAATTTCAGATGATATGTAGACCCAAGTTCATTACAAGATGAAAATGCAAATAGTGTAAAACAACAAACAAAAGGCACCTGAAGTGCTTAATGTGCTGCAATTATCAAGACACTACATTATCATAATTAATGAGTAGTGCTAAGATCTTAAGCTATTATAATTAAGTAAGCCAATTAATGCACAGAATGAAGATCAGTGGAAGAAACACTTAAATATCTATTCAGCAACAATCTGTGATTCAAACCCTCTTGAACTAGATAAAAGAAACAGACACACATTAATACTTTAAGCTGTTGCCTGCTGTTTTATGTGGCCTCATCAAACCTGTCTGGTGCAACATCATTCACACTGAATTTGAGGGGAAACGTAGCCAAGCGAGGGAGTAGGAAATAATCTCAAGTCATCTAGATTATCAAGGTCACCATTTTTACTGCATATCATACTGTATATAGGACCCAAGTCTTTAAAATCAGCTTGAGGTGTACTGACAGGACAGCTGTCTGAGTTCAGCAAGTTCGTTATGCAGAGTTTCTTTTTTTCCTCTCCATTCATACGATTCTACAGATCTGAGTTCATCACAAACGTAATGTATTTGAATTTCTGATGAAAACACAACAGAAAGCTAGGCTATACAACATCAAGCTGTTAGATAAACAGACCAGCTTCCTTCTGACTACCCCTTATGTTGTAAAACTTGAATGGTGTTTGTACTGGGTTTATTTGGAGCTGGGGCCCTGAATTCTGTTGTCTGCAGTTATTGATGCTAGACGGAATGGACGGTTTGAAGCATATATATACACACGTATTACTTTACATTTTTAAACTGTGTTATACATGTAAAGTGGGTCAGCCACTGCTGCCGCCAGTGTTTAACGATTATGGTACAAACAGCAAAAAGGGGGTGGAGCCATGAGACTGAACCTACCGTAGGGGAAGAATTACGCAGTGGGCTGTGCTGCTCCACACATGCAAAGATGCCCATTTTTATCCTCTGACCTCACAGCTTTTCTAAACTGGTTTAGTTTTACTTTGTATGTTTTTACCACTGTAAATGTAAACATTACCTACTGATCCCTCAGGGGGACACAGGACAGTTGGTGTCTCTTAGTCGTCGAGGTTTGGGTTTGCTTCTGCTATGGCTATTTTCAGTACAGCTAGCAGCACAGTGAAATTTATTGGTGCATCTGTCTACAACCACTCATTTACTCTGCAGTTTTTTCATGAAGCCTGCAGATGATAGAGTGTGTGCACCTTAAGCCTGCAGGTACACTGCTTAGATTGTTTAGAATCTGCAGCATTTAAAGACATTTTAATAGCACCCTTGTTTTGTTCACTGTCTCAGCTAATGCAGGAGTTGGTAGATTGCTGGTCTGTGTGTCAGTTATACTGATGTCTTTCACCAGCTAATACTAGAATAGCAGACCAGAGGTGTTTATGTACTTGTTGCAGCCATGAGGTGCCATCTCTGCCTTCTGTGACTGGTTAGAATCTTTGCTCACAAACATCAGAAGGAATTATCTGTGCACTGCTGCCAAAACGTTTCATAGTGTGGCTTTAACACAGTCAAGAACTAAACTGTATAGTACAATAGATGAATTTAAACGTGTATCCATTATTAGTTCAATCTATGCCATAATCAGTCTGCTGCTGTAGAAGCAGCCAACAAACTGTATGAAGCAAACCTGACTGTAGATGGAAGGTTTATTTTAAAAAGCGCTAGGTTCTGTCTTCTTACCTCAGCACAGGTTGGGTGGATGCCGATGGTGCCGTCCAGCTGCTCCTTGGTGACTCTGCATTTCATGGCGGCACCGAAGCCCTGCGTCACCTCTCCTGCATTTGGTCCCAGGTAGTGGAACCCGATGACTCGATCCTACAGTGTGAGAGCACAGAAATGAAGACAGAAACATTCATGCAACATACATCAAGGAGCTCAATTTGTTGGTAGCTATGGTCTCAGAAATGTTACAGGTAGTAATAGTCATACATTGTCCAGTTTATTGCAGATGATCTTTGCGTAGCATGTGTTGTTGTCCCTGCCGGGCACAGTGAACTCCAGAGGCCAGAACAGACTGTGGTACACCTGAACACAGACCAGAAACACACTGAAGGTCCATGACAGCAGAACCAGCAAAGAGCTGCATTTTATTAGCAGTGAATCACATCATTTCAATTTCAGCCTAGTTCATGTTATTGCATTAGACGGCTTCCACCTCATATGGGCAGACAGGACATTGGACAGCGGTAAGAGAAAGGCAGGAGGACTGGTAGTATTTGTGTATGATAGCTTGTATAAATATGCACATCACTATTAAGGAACAAGTCTGCTGTGGGAATTTTTTCACATTAACGCATTACCCCTCCCACCCAGGTAGATCAGATCACAACCTGGGTCATCTTTTGCCTGTGTACAAACCCCTCATGCACAGAGAGCCTGTCGTTACCCTCACAGTAAAGAAATAGTCTTGGAAGACTGAAGAGGCCCTGAAAGACTGCTTTGACATAACTGTGTGGGAAGAACTGCGACCCACAGGGGGAGGACACTGACAATATCTCACACTGCATAATGGACAATATTAACGTCTGTGTATAGAACATGGTACCCACGAGGACTGTTTGGTGTTTCTCCAACAACAAACCCTGGTTCAACCATGAAGAAGAAAAAGAGGGGCTTTAGATCAGGAGACAAGAAGGAACTGAGAGCTGTGCAGAGGACACTGAGGGTGAAGATCCAGGAGGGGAAGGCCAGTTACAGGAGGAAAATGAAGGGACAGCTGCAACAGAACAATGTCAGCAGAGTCTGGAAAGGCCTTAAAACCCATCTCTGGCCACAAGAAGTCTGACTCCCAGTCTGGAGGGGACCAGAAGTGGGTGAATGGCCTCAATCTATTTTTCAATAGATTTAATCATCCTCCTGCTCCTCCCGCTACAGTCATCCCTGCTGCAGGTCACTTCTGCACTCCCAATGAGCTGCCCCGCCCCCTCGACACAACTTTAATAACTTTGTTAATACAAAATACAGGGTTCCTTATGGCTGTATACATATTACAGCCATAGTCCTATTCTTACATGATGTTATGAATATATGCCAGAATATTTTCTATATATCCATTTTCAAATAAAAACGTCCCTGTGCCGGAAATCCAGCACAGTGGTGGGGAACTTTAAGCCCTGGGAGAGGCTTCTGATCAAGCCAAACTGAAAGGAACATATCGTAACCGAGCAGTTTTTCAAGCAATTGTGCAATTTGACTGTTGAACAAATACCGTAATACTTGTACACACGACTCACATTTCAGTTAAATCTGCACATCCTTGACAATTTATATGTTCATCGATGTTCAAATCAGAGCTGGATAATGTGAACACAGTGTTAGAGGCAGGCCTTCACTCAGGACAGGCGAAGGGTTCACAGTCAGGAACTAGGTAACTCATATATATTCAGATTGCTGTGACTGTGTGTTACCTCTAAATTCTCCTGTCCATAGAGCTCAGTGGCCCTCTCCTCCGACAGACCACAGGAGCCATACTCCATTGGGGTGAAAACTGTTGTGGGAACGTTGATGTAGTCACACTGCCAAACAGAGTTATTTAAAGTTTGTCAGGGATGAAATCCTCCTGCTGTCACATGTCATGTAACATTCCAGTGATAACCGAAGAGCTAAAGATTTGACAAGGAAAAAAAAGTTCAGCACATCTACAGTACAACTGCCTCTCAACGCTGATGGTACCTTAAGGGTTGATCCCCCATAGAGGCGCCGTGCCAGCAGCTTGCCAGCCTGGATGGCCACAGGTGTCAGCTCCCACTTGTCTTGCAGAATGTCTCCAATGGCATAGATGTGGGGAATGTTGGTCTGCTCTTCATCGTTCACTGGAATTTTTCCGTTCCTGTAGGATTGTAGAGGTCAGCGAGCAACAAACCATACTTCACTTAAACTATGACTTTTTTGCAGAGCAAAATGACATTTATTACTGCCCATTTATTTACTGCCCATTTAATTATTCTGAATCATTCTGACCACTGGGTTCACAGTGTGTCTCTACTTCATCTGAATATTATCATTTCATCAGAATGGTGATTTCTGGGCTTTGCTAGCAATAACTCGTGAATATTCACCGGGGGTTGGGATTCTTATGCATTATTATGTTTAAAAAAAAAAAAAAAAAAAAAAGGCAGATGACGAATCTTCATAAGCATTTGCATGTACACCATTCTGCAGAATGTGAGAATGTGCTACATTTCAATCACTGATGTGAGATCAACGGATAGTTTTACCAGTGAAGACGTCTCACTTTGTTAAACTACAGAGAAACACTCAGTTCACTGTTTATTCAGTGGAGTTAGAGTAATGCCTCTTTACTAGTACTGTTGCCAATTGAAGGAATCTCTATCCACACCCACACCCACACCCACACACCAGGTTCCTTAGGAATTGAGTTTATGCTGGTTTGTACTGACAACAGGAAACACTCAATGTTAGATGCAAAAGTCTGACACTGACAAAGGCTTTCACATTCTCCTGTCTATTCACCTTTTATATGATGTCAACCTAACTACCAGTTAAATAAATTGAAACATTTCAACCAAAAAGTGTTAACATACTTGAGTACTGTGTGACAAAGTTCAGCTTTAAGCAGTGCAGCAAGAGATACACTTTTTTACCCTCAAAGCTTGCCGTAGCTGTATGTTCTGCTGCTGCTGGCACCATTCAGTACAAGTCATACAAACTTGCTCTCCCTTGACACTTCCCATGTGTGCTAATAGAGATGGGTATGAGCTCTTGTTCAGACTCGATTTTCTGATGCTAGTAGCACTAAACTCGTTCTCCTGCTACACTTCCTGTATGTGCGAGGTACTGCAGCTGCTTCAAATGGGACAATGGTGAGCTTTGCTAACAAGATTATGGGTGTCACTGGCACTCCAGTGGAGACGGCATTGAAAAGTCCTGCCGTCTCAAAACATTCAAATATTAAAACTGATGACCTACTCCTCGAACGGATATCCACACAATAGAATATGTGGGTCCAGCTCTACTGAATACTATGATCATAAGGCTAAGGCTGCAAAGTGGTGGAAAATTCCTGGAAACATTCCATTGGAATTAAAGCTAGGGAATTCTGGAAATATTCCAAGTTGGAAACTTTCCATGGGGATTAATTATAAATTTGGGGTTGTTTATACAAGCATTTTGCTTGGCAATAAGCAGACATGTATGCAAACACATGCAAATTTTAAAAAAAGAGACAACTGACAGATTTATCTCAGAGCAGAACTTTAATGCAGCCAATGCTTAAAAGCAGCCGTGTGGCTTCAGTAGTCCCCCTGTAATGTGCAGGATTCTAGAAATTATCTTTACAAGTGATAGAGGACTGCAGAGTTTATGCAGGGGTTGTGACCTTAGTAGTGTGCATGTGATTGAGAAACGTACAGGGTAGAAACTGAATCAGCATTAAAGGTGATTGTTTTAACCAAGATTATGCTGCTTGGATGATGTTCCAACTACATTTAAGTTCCCTGTTATAGGATAATTAGCAAGTCTGCAAATTTTCTGTTTATTCCCATGGAGAGTTTCCAACTTTGAAAATTCCCAGACAACTATTGCAAACCTATATTAAGACTAGGGCGTATGACTGAGCAGTCTTAGGCTGGCCTGTTGTCTGAACCTCTATTGGCCTCATAGGCTGAACCAGTCATTCACAAAACAGTAAAAAGACAACATCCTCAATGAACAGACTACATTCACAATACCTGGGAGAGAATGAATCATCAGTTGCAAGATGTATGAGTCATTTTAGCTTTAGCTCCAGTTTTCTAAAGTTGCCACCAAAGTTATAAATGTGCAGGAAAAAAGGACAACAGGGAGTGTACTGAGAAGACACACTAAGCCCCATTGAATCTGATCAAATTAGAGTAGACAATGTAAGATAATGACTTCAGGATGAAAAGCCCAATAGATTTTTTTCCTCTATTAAAACACTGCTGATACACTGAAAACTGCTTTCTCATCTTACTAACAAGACATCATTCCTCTCTCCCTAAACAAGTCTCCCCAGTGCATATGCACTCTGCCTCTTTAGAGCCATGAGATGGCATTAAGTGCTGAATCATCATGACTGTACCACGAGTCTTAAAGACACAGGCCACCACATGTAATGGGATCAGAGTACATAAATAAAACAGAGGGAGACAAACTTACTTGGGGTTGACTATGATCCCTGCCTTGTCCAGGCCAAGCTTGTCTGTACATGCATCTCGGCCCACTGCTATTAACACCTGAGGAGCAGAGAAATGAGGTATTTAGTTTAAACAAATTCCTCAGCCAGTGAAGCACTAATGCTTTATTTGAACAGGTACAGCTAAATATAAGATCAAAAAATTTAATTTTTTTTAAACTAAGATCTTAATTTAGTATTTATAATAAATTATTCTTTTTATTGGAGTTAATTTTATACTAAAAGTTTTTGTTCAAGTGCCCTTTTTAATTTCATATTGGCACATCCCTCAATGACACCTTTAACATGTCACTGTTTATTTCATGCTACAATTGAGGGGAGTAGTGGTGTCACCACTCTACCCCCCCCCCACCTTCCAGCCAAACACACTGCTCTCAGCATTAGCCAGTGAGGTCCCGTTAGCTACAGCAACAACAGCATCAGTTGTTCTGACTCAAATATAAAACAGACTAACATCACCACTGTTTATCAGCTAAACAAGGATGCTGGCTCACTAGCCAAGTGGGGTTGTGAGCTTTGGTTATTACAGGGCATCAAAGCGAAGAGACAGTGTTAACAGCGGCAGCTAGAGTGAGCTGGCTAATTCAAAGTTACCTTCTTTGTAATGCCAAGTAATTCTCAAAGCTCATGGGCTGGGAATGTAGGGTCTCCTACCTAACACCACTGACCAACATTACCAGCCTGGTTGTGCCAAGACCTACAAGCTAAAGACGCTTAAAGAGGACGATGCTGTTTATTTACAGTTTAAAGTCAGCACAGCCGTGGCTCTCTGGCTAAATCTGCTAGCATTTGTTGAGATAGCATGCTAGAGAGCCAGAGGACATGGCTGAAATAAAACTGTTTTAAGAATGAAATAAGATTTCACAATAATGACTTTTTAATAGTTCTTCAATTATCTCACAATTTTTTTTAAACGTTCACTCATGATTATTAAATATTGAAGACAGTATTCCCTAAAAAAAGGCCTAGAAAGAAACAAAGAACTTGCACAGTAACAGAGTTAAGGACAAAAGGATGAAGTAATTACATACCGTGTTATACTCTCCCTCGATGATGTCGTCAGTCTCTGTTGACTTGGCTGTCACCTTCAGCCTGCCAGGAGATCCTGCTTCCAGCTCCTCTACCTGACACATACACAGGAGAGTCAGATGGAAAAAAGGTTGAGCTTCTGTCACACATCTAGCTGACAGACAGGGCTTCTTAGCAAAATGGTAAGACAATAAATGTGGTTGCTCACAGATCAAATTGTGAGGACTACCTGTTGCTTTTATTACTAATGGAGGTTCTCTTAAGATGAAAGTGTTTAAAATCACTCTAAAAACTGTTAAAGACTAGTTGCATAGTATAATTTTGATGGCTTAAGTTCCCACTGCAGAAACCCATATCAAACATATTTTGACAAAGGCAGGGTGCGCACACACACAGGTCTGGCCAACGCTCACCTTGATAGGGACATATTTGCGGATGAACTTGATGCCATGCTCCTCCATGTGCTTACCAGCACGGTTGGCCATGTCCTGGTCAAAGCCCCTCAGGAGGATGGACCGAACCATGATGGTGACATCAAGACCCAAGCCAGCCAGGAAACCGCCACACTCCAGAGCCACATACGATGCTCCGACCACCAGGGTCTTTCCAGGGCAGTAGGGCAATGAGAAGAGGTCATCACTGGTGAGCAAACACATACAGAGGGGGTCAAACAGCATGGTAAAAACTGAAGCTTTGGGGCTACTAATCCACAACATATCAGCTGCCCATTTGCTTTTTAGAGATTCTGCATTAAGGCTTTGTGTAGCAAGCACCATGAGGCCACTTGTTGCCTAGACTGTCAGAAAATCAACTGTGATGATTTTGACCACATTAACATGAAATGCAAAAGAGGGATGGGAACATATTTCTGAGCATTTAAAAAGACAACTGCATACGATACAAGATTTAAAATGACGCTACATAATGCTGGGCTGCTAACTTGCACAGCTAAAGAATATACAGCCTTTTTACGATTCCTCTGATTTATAACTCCTCATTGAAACATTTTCCCAGTGCATTTTTGTTAGCTTCCTAATCCTGTTTGGATGTTGTAGAAACAGTTGGTAAACCACTGTGCATTACACTTTAACGGAGATGCAAACAAATCAGATGCACATATTTAAAACAAGCCACACTGTCATGACCATTAGTCTTTTCTCTTGTAAAAACAGACCATGATGTTTGAAAACAATATATTACAGATCACACTTTTATGTGACTTGCCCTACTGGATTTTGTCACCTTTTTATCCTTGTTGTGCAATTTGGTAAATAGGTCCAACCTTAACGTACATCCATATATTGGACAGTGTCACAGTTGAAGTGTCCACAGGTGGAAGTATTGAGCAAAGTGGTGCTTGGCACACCAAAACGAGAAGGAAGACAAACTTAAGGGGGCTGGGGCTGCCTTCTACTGTAATGCACACAAGCTCAAGCTGACAAAAAAATAAAATAAGTGTTTCTCACAGAATTACATCCCAATTGTCACGGTAGCTTGGGGGGGGGGGTTAATGCCATCATTACATTGTTTTAAAATTAAATATAATAATGCGTTGGTGTCGTTCCACTAGTCAACTTTCAGGGGGCAGCCCCAATAATCTTCCTTAATATTTAGACAGCCGGGAGACTGCAGGCAGTGAAGCCACCTGTGGAGGATACAAGTGTCCAGATCCTTAAAGGATGGTATTGTGTCTTCACATGCTGCTGCACCCCTCTTCTCATTTTTTCCAGCTGTAAAGGAGCTCTGAATGGGCCTTCCAGTGACACAGTATGTTCCTGGATAGTGCTGGTGGTGTTAAAGCCACAATGTACTTGGTACTGTGCTCTCACCTGGTGATGCAATGCTCTTTGTCTCCAGGGATGCCCAGGTAGCGTGGCCTCTCACCTGTAGCCAGGATAAATTTAGCTGCTGTATAAAATGTCTCCTTCCCTCGTTTGTTTGCTGCCTGTCAGAAAATATAAACAGAAGCTCTGAGATACTGTTGAAGCAGGGAGAAAAATAAATACAAAAAAAAAGAAAAATAAATAAATCCCACTGTAATGTGTAATTTTGACTGATGATCAAGCAGAGACAGTGATGTTTGAAATGTCTGCTATTTGCTTTACTTTGTAGCTAGGGATGCCATCTATAGGAGAAAAGCCAACAACAAAATCATGAACAGCAGCAATGCTGAGAGGCAGCTACGAAGGGAGGCTAAATGTTTAGTAAGCCTGTTTCAAACGACAATAACAGGTTACCAAGATAGGCTAGATACCATTTCAAAGAATGCGGCTTATCAAAATTAAGAAAGATGTCATGCGTGGACTGACTAGAGTGGAAAATGCTGTCTGTCAACTCCCAGAAAACCGGTACAAAACAGGAATGCTAATTAAAACATCTGTGTGAGCACACTGAATGTTGCACGTCCCCATTCACTGTACCTTGATTTTGTGTGGTTCGATGAACTCTGCATAGGCATTGACATAGTTGACATTCTTGTCTCTCAGCGCCACCCGGTAGCCCCAGTTCAATGAACCAATGTAGTTGTTCACTGCCGTCTTCATAGTGTCCCAGTTGTGTTTCACTGAGTACGGACAGACATCCATCAGTGGAATAACAACTGACTCCTGAAAGGGCTTGCCTGTGATTTACTACAGGCAAACCCCGTAGTAAACTGACCTCCTGTATCGGTGCTCTGAGCCCTCACCTTTCTCATCAAACTCCCAGCCAAACTTGCGTGCATCCTGCATGGCAGTGCTCAACATGGCAGTCTGGTGCATTAGCTTCTTGGGAATACAGCCCACATTCACACAAGTCCCACCGAGACCTGATCACCATAGCACAACAATACCAACATATGGAAATTAACACCGCATCCCAGATATCCAACTAGGTATCCTGAAGTGGAAGCATCTTACCCCAGGTGGTTCCTTTTGGTGTGGGCACAACATAGTCCAGCACCATAACCTTCTTCCCCAATAGAGCAGCTTCCTGTTGGAAACAGAGCCAATGTTACTGTGGCTAATTGCTACATCAGCTTTAGTTCCACTGTGTTTCTCTGACAAGTATCAACCCCAATATTGCACAACAAAGCAACAGCCATTGCAATAAAGTTTCAACAAGTAACTCTGAACATGTTGCAGCTAATCTCGTTACCTTTGAGCAGGCCAGGCCTCCAGATCCTCCTCCAATCACAATCAGGTCATAGTCATAAACTTCATTTCCTCCATTCAGTAGCTGCTGCAGGCTTCCGTCATTATGAGCCTGACTCAAACATGAACACAATGCTGGTTAACAGAAAGACTCCAACACATCTAACAGATGTCTCAGTACAAACAAGGCCATCTTAATGCCACTTCATCTTCCTTTACTCCAACATGGATTCTTGTTAGCAGTGTTCTGCTCACTAGTCTCTAGTGACTGACGCATCTACTCCATTACCAATGTTCCACCTTCTCACTTGGATCTTTTCCATATTTTTTGTCTTCTCTGATATTAAAATGAGAATACTTGGATGCTGCAATGTTGGAGGAATAAAACAATATCTGAAGGCATCATCAAGGTCTCTGGGAAAAAAAGTCAAAACATTTTTCACTATTTTAGGACATTTGACTTTTTTTTTTTTTAGAAGACCAAATAATCAGTTTAACAAGATAAATAACTGACATATTACTCTATAATAAAAACACTAATTGCAGCCATATATATATATACATATAGTTAACACCAAGGTTTAGCCAACGAAACAATTAACAAGTCTTTGTTACTATTACATTTGAAAATCCAATAATTGTTTTAGCTGTTCAAGCAAAACTAACAGCAGTTTAACAATTAGAGTGAGGATTTCCTGCTTATCTTTGTCATACAACTATAAATTGAGTATCTTCAATGTATTGAATTGACAAAATGATCAATATGAATGTTCAACTTGGACCCAGAATGGTGAGTCATTTACAGTCTGTCATTTCATAAGACAATTCATTCATATTCCATTTCTCTATAGCTGGGAAGATGAACACACTGTGCACTGCAGGAGTGTTTCTTTTAATATAAAACTAGTGTGTGCCATCTGAACAAGCCACGCAATGAGATTAACATTTCATAGTAATCATGTATTCAGATATTTAACATCAGAAGGATTCTGAGCACAACAAAACTGGAAAAACAGATGCACACATCTGTTCTGTACCTGCATGGTTCTGTCACAGCCACCAACATGCGTCTTGTTGATGAAGACATTAGGAACAGTTTTCTGTCCAGTCATCTCAAGCAGCATCTCCTGGTAGTTGCTTCCATCCTCTGTACAGAAGGGTCAATGTTGTTTACATGCATGTTAACAGGTAGCGAATACCAATCATACCATCAATACATCTATTTCTCATATGGTAATAATTGATATTTTGCATCTTGATCAAATTTATGAAAACACAGTAAAAGAGGAAGAATGCCTTGACAAAATGTGTATTCATTGGGTTCATGATGTATCAGCAAACCTTGTAATGTCTTACCATGTATGAACAACATGCAGAAACAGAAACTGTTCTCAAGTAGTCACACAAAAAGTCTGCATATAGTTAGTTTAACCCATGGTTAAGTCTACCACCAGGCACAAAGTAGCACTGTTGCTATGGCAGGGACAGGTACTAATATTTTTAAGCACTGGCCCCATGGGGCACCAAGCCCCTAAGTTTGGTGGCCAAAGTACATTTTTGGTTGCCCAAATGTAAAAATAAATAAAAACAACGCAGACAAGGCAATTTCACACAACTTAACAGCCTCCCTTAACTATGACACTTCAATAAATGAAAAGATTCAAATTGAACTAAAAGATGCAAATGACATAGGATGTTTGTGGAACACACTGCGATGGTGAAGTGCAGGGGGCCTGAGACACACAGGGTCTCATTCTCGGCTGAGATCTGATAAAGCTTGGTGGCCACTTGCTTGGGGTGTATGGTGGCCACAGGTCATGGTTAACGGTTACCTGTAGTTTAACATCATCACCAATCTAGACTGAAAGTTAAACTGCAAACCAGATCTTTGCTCGAGACATCCTTTGATATGATTTTAATGTACACAAGTGATAGTGTAATCTAGAATACTACCTGTTGCAAAAATTGGACTGTAATGTTTTATCTATTGCAACCCATCCATTGGTCCAGGAAATCTGTCATGTTACAGGCTGGTAAGATTATACAGTAAACCATCTGTGGCATATGGAAAAACGAAAAAAAAAAAAAGACGCACAACATTCGAATGCTTAAACATTCAACTTTGATGTTAAATGCTGTCAAATTCCTCTTTCCGGTCAGCTTTGCACAGAAATGTTCCCACACAATTAAAACTGCTATCAATGTAGCTGAAGAGTTTCTTCATGAAGAAACATGTCACCCAGTGCAGCAGTGCTTCCCTAATGTGTTTTTAATCCCTTTTGAACAACTGAGGTCTAACACAGATGGTTAAAATAATCCAGGGACATTAACTGCAAACAGAAGCAGTTCATTGTTGTGTTAGAAATTAATAAATTAGTCAGATAATTATTAGACTTTAATGTGTTAGTAATGTAGTTTAGTAAGATTCAAAGTCTGCTCCTGTGTGCTCTGCTTCAAGGTTAGCGGCAAACCATGACACCGATTGTTTTTTTGTATTAATCTTGTGTAAGAATTATGTCTGAATGAATGTTTAGTTACACATCACGCATACAACATACACACACGGAATTCTTCATTTTGAAATGTCCAGCTGCTCCAAGCATGCGGAGCTCTAGATAATAGGAGACGTCAGACTGTCTCCAGCTCCTGATGTTTTTACAGCTGTCTGTGTAAGGGGTTAGTCCAAAACTGATAAATGTATTAGGCTCTATGTTTCCGGGTGCTTTTTTCCCTGCTCTCTTCTCCAGCAGCTTGTCTGAAGGAGGGAGCCCTGGGTTGTGTTCTGTAATCCTTTTTATACATATATATTTTTGTAAATAAACCAGCACTAAAATCAAGAAAGACTGACTCCTTTTTTACTCAGATCTGTCCAGTAAAAGAACTGGGGTACAACAGTTGGTTTAAGTCTCTTTATGAAGAGTGTGGAAAACAAGATTAATATAGAAAATGACTCACCCTATCCTTTAAATGTGATCACATTTGACAAGTTATTGATTAGTCTTCAACATCTCTATCTGCAACCTTACAGCCGAGAGTATGATGGATACAACTCAAGACAAAGCAGAGAAGCTATAGTTTACTGAGACATGGCAGGAGGCCAACTTATCTTGAGGAGTGACTCAGCATATTTTGTGCTGCTGCAAAGGAAGATCACAGTTCAGTCCAAGGTAAAACAACATCCTGACTACTATAGTATGGAGAGAAATCTGTTTGGGCTCAAACGGGACCATTAATATGTTTTTTTAGTAGAGTATAGTAAAGGATAGGGGGAAATGCCATTAAACGAAACAGCACTGAGCATGTTACTTCTGCAAATTGAACAAATGTCCCCCCTCTTACCTATGAGGTCCAACTCCACCACATTACACTCGACTTTTAGCTCTTTGAACAAGTCTTTGACCTAGAAAAACACAGGAAAGGTGATATTATTTTCCTCAGTCATGTGGTGTCACAGCCTGCAATAACCAATAACACGTTAGACCATTTCCTATTAGCGATGGTTCAATGAAAGTTGTTTAACTGTCCGAGAACTGAAATGCTCGACATTCAATGCTGACTATTAATCAACAAACATTGCAATTTTCAATATAATTCAGTGTTAAATGTTAACTAGAATTATACATGTGGGAACTTTAAAGAAACGCCACCGCTTTCTAAACAGGGTGTGTCTAATGTCAGCTAAGAACAGTAAACTATCTAACTTTTAAGTGGGACTAGATTCAGGTAAACTTTTTATCCAACCAACACTAGCTGTATAAAATTGCAAAGACTAGCCGGCAAATAGACGGACCCCGTCTATTTCGCGGGAGAAGGTGGAAGTTTCCGACCAGCCTAGCAAGTCTCCCCATTTCGACAAAACAAATACCTTACCTCCAGACAATACGGGCAGTAGCTTTTGCTGAAAACCACCACTCGATTGGTGTCAATAAGCTGCTGTATCCGAGATTTGAGTTCATTCTTCCCGGCGTCATTTTCGATGGGAGGCATTTTCAAGCAGTTTCCGTCCGCCTGCGCAAGGCAAGCTTTGACAGGCGCCTAACTAGAGATTGAGGGAGAAACCCAAACGAGGCTGCACCAACTCGTCTTGTCGAAAATGTACGACTGTCTCTCGAACCTTCTTCCAAGAAAAGATACCGGCGAACAGATCTTTGTTCCACTCCTCTACGTCTGATGTCAAATAGTCTACCTACCGCGCCAAACGTTTTTCACCATTTCATGTCTTGGTACTTTGGGTGCACTCGATCTTATGTACCTTCATCGCCGGTTATTGCATTGCTAAACACAGTCAACTGGAATAACCCCTCCCACACGGACAATTTCTTGCTTTAAAACGCGCCTACCTATAAAACGTCACAAGCTTTCCGATTTACGTAATGATTTACATGCCATAAAAGCGCATAACTATTAGACCCCTACGTACGCATATAAATCAAAGCATTTTAGAGTTAAATGCATGTTTACATAAAAAAACACAAAGCCCTGTAAGTAAGGGGGGTTTCAGGCACTTCTGGAAGAAACACCTCGTAAATTTAAAAAGAAATGAAACACTGAATGACGTGGATCCATTGAGGTCTAATCGCCTATTGATAGCAACTTAATGAAAAGCCGATTAGTAACAAAGTACATTTCTGTCTTGTACCTTTACTTTTCTGTGTTGGTCCAGGAGCAATTAATCTGTTATTTACCGCCATCCTCTGGTGAACATAGTGTATGACAAGTAAAAGGTGCACTATACCGTACAGTATAACTTTTAAGGGGTCTCCAGTCTTCTCCCCCTACAAGGCCTTTTATATCTAATTATATTCCCGTGGTCTATTCGTAAACGCACACCAAGCTGGCAGCAGGAGCCAACAGACCACTTACCAAGTGTGCTTACCACTTAGCCTACTAAATGTGCTTTATGTAATAGTGATAGGAAAAGTTATAAATCATGACTATCCATATTTATCTCTCAAATTTGTGTTGTGTTATTGTAGCCTACTATGACATGATATTTTCTGTTTACTGTTAACAGTGCCAGTCAAAGTAGGCTAGTTACAAGTGACGAGAGAATAACAGAACTGAAAGTTTCCAATATCAAAATCAAAGCAGCAGTAACCGAGAATTTAGTTTTTGGTCAAGCTCAAAAGTTGCCGGATCCTACATTTCCCATAGTGCAACATGAAAACAACACCTTTCATTTAAAGGATACCCCCCTTTAAAAGCCACAAAAAACATTATAGCCTACAACTGTTTCTACAGGCTGAGTAGTATTTATGCTAAATAAACACACACACCTGTTAGTGCTGTGTTGTTAATGCAGGACCATATCTAGCAGCACCTTGAGGTCACTGAGTGCCACTCTTTAGCTGCTAAATGTAACAGATGCTCATCACTACATGTAACTCCTTTCACTTTGTGATCTTGTACAAATGTTATTTAGCTGCTATAAATGTTTTCAAATTATACTGCATTTTCCTTTAATTATTTTGCACATTTAACCGTTCAGTTATATTTTCTGTAAATGTTATCTCCATACATGCAAAGCGAAGTGCTGTTTTAGATACTAAATCCCCTATATTTGCATTGTGTGTGTGTGTGTGTGTGTGTGTGTGTGTGTGTGTGTGTGTGTAAAAAGAGTAAAATTAGGTCATTTTTGTCAAAAAAAAACAACTATTAGCCTTTCTGTATAATAGAGGACATATGACAATGACCTTGGTTATTATACCACTGACATCAGCAGATATGGCACTATGCCTACATTTGTTTTAGCCTAATGAACTGTTGTACCCGGTACTTTTTACCATACTGACTCTGAGAGACAAGGCAGTCCAAGTAACTACAAAACAGTGCTGATTTATTCCATGAATACAGGTAAAAATTAACATTACACGCTCAGGTATCTTGCACCTCCAAACTGCTCGCAGGCAGATGTAAGATGAAAGCCCCTGAACCCACCAGGCCTATACATTATAGCCCCTCGGTTGGGCTAGCCCCATACTACACAGAAACGTCAACCGAGACGTCTCTGTTACCAGCTTTGCAGCTGGTCATAGCA